CAAATATGATGTACTTAAATAAAAATAATAGTTTAAAAAAAACTAACAAAATACGCTTTTATAGAAAATCCAACTAAAAAATTGAAAATAAATTTTAATAAATTTGAATTAATAATAGTGTAAGAAAAAAATTATTTTATTGTAAAAAAAGCGTGGGGTGCTGGTATCAGTAGTTATAAATATTTTATGAACAGATATGAGTAGAAGGGTTATTTTGATAATATCCTTTTATCCTTTTTCATTTTTTAGTTTAATATCGATTTTTTCAAATTTGTTTTTATTTCTTTTTTTAAGATTGAATCGTCATCGGTCCTTAATAAGTATACCAAATTTCGAGTTAGTCCGACGTTTTGAAGGGGGTCAAAATCATGTTCAAAGATTCCGTTACATACTAACATACATACCTACGTCTAAAGCTAATAAAAGCGTAGCTATTAAAAAGATTCATAATGTGTTCTTTGTTACAAATGAAATTTGAGCTACTGTATCGATTTATGAAATATTAAACACTCTTTGGTGTTGCTTAGTGACAGATTCATTTCCCGCGCGGGAAATAGCAATAATTCTACTATGAAGAAGTCTCATCACTGTGTCTCAGCTTAAGGGATGGAACAGTAGTTATAATAGATTGAAACTTCAGCCTCTATCTAGAGAGGTAAGCGGAGATTTGATAGCCGCTTCTTCTTCTTCTGTTAGATTATTGGGTCGCGCGGCTTGCGCATTTGCCGCAGAGCCAATTAAAAGGTTGGGAAACTACGGAATCCAAAAAAAAATCAGGATCGGATTCGGAAGGAAAAGATTAGGAAAGTTAGAGGATATATGAAAATACATATATAACTATCAATAAAATTAAATATGTACCTACATCATTAGATAATATAAAAAAAGACAATAAACGATATACATTAGAAGAATGCATAGATAACAGACACATAATGGAAGTAGGAAAAGGAATATTACGTCCATTCCTAAAGCTAGAGACAAACAGAAATGACTAGCAACGAACTAAGTTATTTTTAAAGTAGACCGTGTTGTAAGAATGAATTAATGGATTTCTAAATCAAACAATACGTCAGACTTAATTTCATTCCTTCTTTCTGCGTGTAAAGAAACGTCAATGTCAATTAAGTTAATGTCAATTGTTTTTTTTTAAATCAGAATTCTTGTTGACCCGAATTTCAAATAAAGAAACGAATCCAGAAGCATCCAAAATTAAGCGCGAAACGATTATATCTCATTTAATCGAATAAAATCCCTTTGCGTCTCTGTTTACGCTTAAAAAATAATTATGACATCAACGGACACCCACGTTTGTGTTTCGTTAAACGAATACGTCTAAGTTTTTGCGCTAGGATCTGGATTCCGCGGCCGTTTCGTCTTTTTCGCTTTTCGGCCCCTTTGATGTTTCGCATTCGAGATTCGACAATGGATTCGGAATTGTTTTCGGGCTTCGGCGTGATCCGTCCTTTATTCAAACGTGACTTAGAATTGAGTGTTTTGAGATATTTGTCAAATCGTTAATTATGTTTATGAGAGAGTAGAGATAAGTGTGTTGTTTGTTAGTTTTAAATGTTGTTATGATTTTGTTTGATATTAATTTTTTTATCAGCGACTTTACTTTTGGCACCGGCACTTTGGCTATTTCATTGACAAGCATCAGACGTCCTAGGAACTAATAAACCTATAAATTTCTTGTCTTAAGGTGGACCTTATACTCTAGTTTCTGTAGACTCCAGTAGCGGTTAGATTAAAAAAAAAAGTGGTCCCAAAACTCCTTTGAAGCTTTCTTCCGACATAGAGTTTTTTATCAAGCTAGTTTTAATACAATAGATTTGCTATTTACATAAGAGTCGTTGTGTTTTTATCTCCTACGCGTTTCTAAGCAATACGTCCGATGAGAGATCATTTGCACAGTTTTTTTGGCATATTAGGATAGGTTTCTGTCGCATTACCAACAAAGCAAGATTACTGGCGCGCAATTAGTTTTTTTTAAATGCTTAGATTAGTGGACGAGCTCATAGTCCACCCGGTGTCAAGTAGCTACCGTGGCCCATAGACATCTACAGTGTAAATGTCGCCACCCACTTCGAGACAAGAGTTCTAAGACCACAGTACAACGGCTGCCCCAGCCTTCAAACCTAAACGCATTCACGGTAGAAATAGGTCATGTGGTGGTACCTACCCGTGCGGACTCACAAGACGTCCTGCCACCAGTTTTAACAAAGCACGTATTGCGTACAGTTTTCGACCCATTAGAACCGAAATTTGGATCGAATTATCAATTTTATAATGGTTTACCAAGTGCTACATACTTAAAATCCAAACGCATGACTATTTCACGGCAGAAATAGGCTCGACGTTCCTCAATCCACGACTTAATTTACTTCCATGGTAAACCACACGATTTTAGTGAATGCCAGAGCGCGGCTGTATTTCAAAGATATTGTATACACTTTTAATAAAGCAATTATTTACACATAACACTCTCCGCCATTTTGCTTATGTAGGATTTTAGAGTTTTTCGGTCACGTTGCGAGGTAAAAGGCTGACAATCTCGAAAGACTTCTCATCACCGGTAAAGTGGAAGGAAAGAGGCCTACAGGGCGTAGTCCCATGCTCTGGCCCGGACAGATTAAGACGACTTTGGACTCCAGCATCAATGTCAGTATCCACTGCACGGAGGACAGAAAGGAATGGAAGAACACAGTCCTAACAAAAGTGCTCCGTAAAGGTCACAACCCTCAACACTGAGGAATACGACGTATCGAGGGGAGGAGGACACATAATCGATTTAATAGTCTCAAAATTCATATCCCAATACGATAAATAACCGCGTGATATGCAGCTCAAACGAAGAACAAAAGTTTGACAATAAATAGTATGCATGCGTGTGTGCGTCAAATACACGGTACGTAGTGTGTGTAATGTTTTCTTTATTGATTTAATGTATCTTTTATGCATTATTTTAAAAATAAAATAGCATTGTGCACTTCTTCTCTATATTCTCTATAAGTGTGGAAAATTTCTTACTCCTCCGTCCTCGCAATTTTCGTAAAAAGGGAAACAAAGTTTTTCCTTCACGTATTATTTTTAACTAATGTATGTACTTTTAGAATTAACAATAGACGCTTAAACTGCACATCGGAATGACAGTTATCTTCATCCTTTTTTGTATAAACTGTCCATACCGAGGAGGATGTTAGAGCGAAGTTATAAAACTTTTTTTTATTGCCCTTGTAGGCAGACGAGTATACGGCACACCTGATGGTGAGTTACTGTCGCCCATGGACTTCAGCAATGCTAGGGGCAGAGCCAAGCCGCTGCCTACCACTTAATACTCTCCACAAGCCTCGTTTGAAGAAGGACACGTCATAGCGCTCGGGAAACACCGTGGAGGGGAGCTCATTCCATAGCCGGATGGTACGTGGCAAAAAAGACCTCTGGAAACGCACTGTGGATGACCGCAGTGGCTCCAGGTTGTATGGATGAACTCTACTCCGGTGGCGGGCGGTGCGATGGTAAAAACGAGATGCCGGTATCATCTCAAACAATTCCTCAGAGCACTCCCCAAAAACTGTACATTATTTTAGTCTATTCGAATATGTTCCCCTAAAGCCTTACAGAATAAGAAGAACAAGATAATATATTGTGATTAAACAAATACATAAACGCATTATTAACTATTTATCTATTTAAAATTAATTTTACGGACTTAATCTTCGGTTTTTTATCGTCATTAAAATGTAACGAATATTTTACAGTTTTCGTGGTAATTAACGACTTAGATGTCACTAATAAACACATATTTAAATAGCTTAACGAATTGAATGAGAGCTTAAAGACCTGATTCTATATTTTTAAAAGCTTTTTTTCCTACCTAATCGTTTGTAGCCTGTTCTAGCTACTCATGAACATGTAGGTGAGCTCACAGGGCTCAGCCTGACGTCGTTGCTAACACTAGCCTTAGCGAAAGCAGGGCTTCGCTGAATCTACCGCTGGATCGGAATCGCGACCCGCTGAGAAGATCCGGCGAGAAACTCAGTAGGTTTTGTTGTGTTGTATTATGAAACTAATCGTTTCGACCTAAAATATTGAATAATCCTACTGGAATTTCCTTTTGTTATAAGTAAACTTATTTCTTTTCTTTTTTAAGACAGTTATAAATTTAGCCTTAATACGTTTTAAAATAGACATTTCATATTTTTCATAATATTTAATGTTCATCGTAAAAATAACATAATAAAATTACTTTTACCATCAGATAAGTGATCGTGACCACGGTAACTGTAAAGTGGTCTATCTATCAGCCTATCGACATCCACTGTTGGACATAGGACATAAAGTGATCATATTAATTATATTCACGATAAGATAAGATAAAACGCTAAACGTAAGAGATTCCGGAATACTCAAGCTTTGCATTCTTTTTTTTTTAATGCAAACTGCAAATATATATAATAAATACTTTTTTGTACGCACAAATAGGCCTAAAGATTAAGGCCTTGTGCAAATTTTCCTCATCATTAATGCATATCGATGTTTATATTTTCCCTATGTACTCCGAAATGACTGGACCGATCGTGATGAAATTTTCAGGTAATCTTTATATAAGCCTAGCGGGTGTTCTTGTGAAGTTTGGTAGCGATCGGATGAAGAACGAATCAAAAATCGCACATCAAAGCGAACCGGGTTTGACTGGTTATTGAAAATTTTACAAGCTGCGTAGTATTCTTTAAGTATTTTATAGTAAAAATGTCTTTCGTTTTTTAATTTGTTTGAAATTTAAAAATACGTTTATATGTTTTAAGAGGCTAGCTGTGTCTCTGGTAGTTAGTTAGAAACAAGGCTAAGATCATTTAAGTTCGTGTAATGGATAGCAGTGTCTATTTTGGGTCATACGTGAAACCACAATCGGGTTTTTAAGACTAGAAAAAAACATTACGTAATATGCTAAATTAATTATTTTTATTGTTATTCGGGGAAAAAAATCATGTACTCACGGTTTTAATTTTAATCAAGCGAACAAACACAGCATCACTTCACTATTATTAATATCGACACCACAAATAACGTCACACAATTAATTTTTTTTTTTTTTTTTTAAGTTAATATCAAACACACACGTATTTTTAAACACAGGCGCGATTTTTGAATTCGGAACGCAAACAGTTACTTTTCGAAATTTGCAACGGCCAATTCTAGAATTAGAATCGAGATTCGAATAATTTTTATTTCTGGAATGTTTCTAATTGAAAACGTTGGGAAGTTTAACACTGGGCCGGGGCGGAGCACGCAAAATTGTTACGTAGCAATTATAAAGAATAAGGACGGGCGACGTAATTGGTTAACAATTAGGCTGGCATTATTCGCTGAGCACGTGGTGTCATTTTCCGTAATCTCGAATTTAGAGTCGAATCGGTTCAATGAAAACCCGTCACGTCAGGTTATCGAGGTCATTTTCAACAATCAAACAACCGACCACCGCTCAAATCACAACCGATCACTAAACACGGCCGATAACAGTCATCAAACGAGAGAACAGTCACGGGACGAGCTAATCGAAAAACAAAAAATATATATATAACTGAAAACAAAAAAAAACAAAAAACGAAAAACAAAAAATAACGCGAATCTCGAACGCACACAGACACACAACTCCGTCCAATTAAAGATAATGCTTGTGGATATTTTAATAGCGTTCCCCTCCGTAGAGAAATCCGACACAACCAACTCGCGTTGGATTTAAACACTTAATGACCGGTTGGGGGAAATCGTCCGGGAAACGAACGGCTCAGCTGTGTTGCTGTCTCGCTCTGAATAGTGCCCAAGAATGCCGCGTCTACGGCCCGTGTGGCGCTGCGATCGGCATATAGGTGGAGCCGGTAGCTAGGTGTGGCATTGCGAGGCGTGGACTTGATGCCATTGGTGGTTTTCGGTACGTGATTTTCTCGCGGATCCGACTACGGTTGGCACCGATCGATCGTTAGAGGGTTGCCATTATATGTTTTTTATTGGTATTTTTTGGTCGTGCAGTAACCTGTGGATGACCACGCCTATCCGAGTTAGACTTCGGCTATCAATCCAGGAGGTGCTCGTTTTTTTTTTTTGTTTTTTTTTTTTTGTTGCGTGCGGTTTTTTTTTATCTGTGCCGTAATGTGTCAACGTCGTGTGATGCTTGTGTATGATTCTCGTCTAGTGATACTTCGCCGAGAAGCTTTTGAACTAGTGACGACGAAAGCTCGCGAAAAGCTAGTGTCGCGAAGCTAAAGTTTATTTGATATTCGTAAGATCATAATAAAGTTAGTTATGAATTTTTACGTAGAGCTTAGATTAAATGTAGAGTTAGTTAATTCGTGTTTGTAAGTTTTTTTTTACTATTAATAACACAATATTTGTGTTTTTGGAAAAATAAATATAATGTGTAAAAGTGGAATAGGTATTGACAGCTTCTCTAGAATAGTTCTATTAACTCTATCTATCGCTAGAGCCGTTATTCGATTGAGAACAATTATCTCTACAATTGAAAATAATTTTAATATCTAGTAGAGCTATTATTTTTTTGCGATATTATATTTAAGAGAGTTTAAATTAAATAAATAAATAAATAAATATTTACTAACAATCACGCCACGTTAACTGGTCCCGTGATAAGTTCGTAAAGAACTTGTGTTACAGGTACACCAGATAACGGAAATAAATGTAAGATTTTTATTATACACATACATATATTTAATATACATCCATAACCCTGGAAAAGACATTTATATTTATCATACAAATATCTTCCCTTGGCGGGATTCGAACCCGCGACCCCCTTATGTAGTGACCATGTCACTTACCACTACACCAGACGGCCGTTAATAATAAAATTTAAAACAGTATTTTAATTTAAAATGCAAACTATTTTAAAACATGATCAATTTGGTTTATAGAGAACATTTATTTTTACATAACACACGCACGACCCGCAGCTTATATTAAGTTGTTATTGGACATAATTACTTCTAAACGTGACCCGCCATGCACCTTGAGACAGGGTAACACAGCCTCAAATATTTAACTCCACCCATCAAATAGGAACTCACGATTGGCGGTGTAAATAGGCGAAAACTGTGTTATCCATCCCGATGCCTCCAATGAACACTACGCTAACTCCAAATTCTTAGATTTACAGGAGGAGCGTTTAAACGAAAAAAGTTGAAAAAATCTTTATTATTGCAGATGTATTTATTTATTTATTTATTTTATTTATTTATTTATACTTTATGCACAAAACAAAACTTGTACACAGGCGGACTTAATACCATGGGCATTCTCTTATGGTTTTTTTGTGTAGCTAACTGATTTACTTTTGCTTCGAACCCCATCAATAATGATTAATTGTAATGCTTTTAACATAGTGAAGCGATTTGCATGAAAAACGAAAATTTCAAAATTTTGAGTCAGAGTAGTGTTCATTGGAGGCATCGTAATTCCGTGTGAGCTCGCAATACTCAATAACACCAGTAGAAGCCGATCGATAATCACGATTTTACTTCACTTCACGTTACTGGTAATAAATATATTATATACTGGTGGTAGGACCTCTTGTGAGTCCGCGCGGGTAGGTACCACCACCCCGCCTATTTCTGCCGTGAAGCAGTAATGTGTTTCGGTCTGAAGGGTAGGGCAGCCGTTGTAACTATACTGAGATCTTAGAACTTATATCTCAACGTGGGTGGCGCATTTACGTTGCAGATGTCTATGGGCTCCAGTAACCACCTAACACCAGGTGGGCTGTGAGCTCGTCCAACCATCTAAGAAAAAAAAAAAAAAATAAAAAAAAAATTCGATCGATAATCGATTCGCGATTTATTCGTAAAAAAAACATATTATATTTTTAATTTTTTTTTTAATGTATTATATTTTTTACGAATAAATCGCGATTATCGATCGACTTCTATTGGTGCCATAGAGTATTGTGAGCTGAGCACAGTTTTCGCCTATTCACGCCGCAAATCATGAGTTCCTATTTGATGGGGAATAAATATTATATAGATGCCTCCAATGAACACTAGTCTAACTCCAAATTCGTAGGTTTACAGGAGGAGAGCTTAAACGAAAAAAGTTGATAAATATATCTGCAATAATAAAGATTTTATGGTTTTTTCTTTTGTAACTAGCTGATTTACTCTTGCTTCGAACCCCATGAATTTGTAATACTTTTAAAATAGGCGATGATTTTAAATGAGGCGATTTTATTTTATATTATATAGCGACCCGCCCTCGCTTCGCTTCGGAAACATTAAAACACACATGAAACCAAAAAAATAAAATTTAAAAAAAATTTAAAAAAGTAGCCTATGTTCATCAGGGTCAATGTCGGCTTCTAATGGAAAAATAATTTTTCAAATCGGTCTAGTAGTTTCGGAGCCTATTCGAAACAAACAAACAAACAAATCTTTCCTCTTTATAATATTAGTATAGATTTATCATCGCACCTCCCGCCATCGGAGCAGAGTTCATCCATATTATCTGGAACCGCTGCGTTCATCGACAGTGCGTTTCCAAAGATCCTTTTTGCCACGTACCATCCGGCTTTGGAATGAGCTCCCCTCCACGGTGTTTTCCGAGCACTATGACATGTCCTTCTTCAAACGAGGCTTGCGGAGAGTACTTTATGGTAGGCAGCGGCTTGGCTCTGCCCCTGGCACTGCTGACGTCCATGAGCGACGGTGACCACTTACCATCAGGTGGGCCGTATGCTCGTCTGCCTACAAAGGCAATAAAAAAAAAAAAGATTTGCGTGAAAAACGAAAATTTCAAAATTTTGAGGCATCGATTTAGAATCCTCCTGCCCTTCGTCCTGTGAATCCTTTGGTCGCGTTATACGAACCCCATACGGACATAGCTGAAACAAATCAACGCAATTTATTACACAATCAAAACTTTATTTACGGCTTAAACGCGGATATTTTTATTGTATATTTGTTTTTATTGCTTAGATGGACGGACGAGCTCACGTACCATCTTGTGTTAAGTGGTTACCGGAGCCTGTAGATATCGACAAATGAATGTCGCCAACTAACTTGGGATAGGGTTTCTTAGTTTTACAGTACAAGGGCTGACCCAGCTTTCAAATCGAAACGCATTACTGCTTCGCGGTACAAATAGGCAGGGCGGTGGTACCTACCCGTGCGGGCTCTCGATACACCCTAGCACCCTAGCATGATAACATCAGTGATCATTTTCGATGTTTCCAAAACATTGCAATTTTCGTGGTCACTCACATCCATTACCTCGTTACAGTATTCATCTTCTTTAACCTGTGTCCGCCGGAAAGGCAGACCCCACATGAGATGGTCAGATGAGCTGATAAAAATAGCTGGTACCCGCTGGCCACAAATAGCCCACGATAAAGATACACGGTATTCTTTAGAGGAGGCCTTCACCTTCATTTGAGGAAGGTTCATGTAAACAAACTTTTATATTTACACACTATAAACTTTTTTTTGAAAGCACTATCTACATTTATATTTTTTTAAACGAGGGGATGGAGGGAAGAGGGATGAGAGGAGGAAGGAGAAAAGGGCAAACAAGTGTAAACAGCATCACTATTATTTTTTCTTCTTTCCTTTTTTTCTTTTTTCTTTTCTTCTTTATAATTTCTTCTTCATACTTGAAACGTGTATGTAACCTATTATTTGCATGAAATAAAAGGCTTATTATTATTATTATAACCTGTGTCCAGTCAATGCTGAGTGTAAGTCTCTTCAGACGCACTCTATTATTTTTGATCTCTTGCCTTTCGCGTCCTGTTCTTACCAGCTATTTTATTATTAGTACCAGCGACCCGCCCTCGCTTCGCTTCGGAAACTGTAATTTATTATTGATTTCTCCACTATTTAATGGATGTTATTATACATATAAACCTTTCTCTTCAATCACTCTATCTATAAAAAAAAACCGCATCAAAATCCGTTGCGTAGTTTTAAAGATTTAAGCATACATAGGGATATAGGGACAGAGAAAGCGACTTTGTTTTATACTATGTAGTGATAGTAATATAGAATTGTAAAATCAACGTTTTAGCACTAAACATAGAACCACTTAATATTTTTTTTATCGCTTAGATGGGTGGACGAGCTCTCAGCCCACCTGGTGTTAAGTGGTTACTGGAGCCCATAGACATCTACAACGTAACTAGTAGTATAGCTAATAGGCTTTAATAAACTCTGAGGAATTGTTCGAGATGATACCGGCATCTCGTTTTTACCATCGCACCGCCTGCCACCGGAGTAGAGTTCATCCATACTACCTGGAGCCACTGCGGTCATCCACAGTGCGTTTCCAGAGATCTTTTTTGCCACGTATCATCCGGCTATGGAATGAGCTCCCCTCCACGGTGTTTCCCGAGCGCTATGACATGTTCTTCTTCAAAGGAGGCTTGTGGAGAGTATTAAGCGGTAGGCAGCGGCTTGGCTCTGCCCCTGGCATTGCTGAAGTCCATGGGCGACGGTAACCACTCACCATCAGGTGGGCCGTATGCTCGTCTGCCTACAAGGGCAATAAAAAAAAAACTCTTTACAGATCACTAATCGACACAAGATATTTATGGAGACATTAAGATCTACCTACGAGGACTATTTAAATAAAACTTTTTACGGTTTAGCCTCGCCTTTTTTATTCTTTATTGTACACACAGCTAATACAATACAATAATTTCGAAAAGTTATAAAATGGCGAGCTTAACTCAACAATTGAATTATCTACCAGCTAACCGTTCTTAAAGAGGGAGAGCTTTACATAAGTGGGCAGAAGAGTACAATTTTTCTTTAGCACTTTTATTTTATTTCACATTACTGTCGTTCGCGACCACGTATTTAGATCTTACAACTTATATCTCAAGGTGGGTGGAGTATTTACGTTGTAGATGTCCATGGGCTCCAGTAACCACTTAACACCAGGTGGGCTGTGAGCTCGTCCACCCAACAAAGCAATAAAAAAAATCGTAAACTATAAATTATCCGAAACGTCAATAATAGTAGAATGGCGTTAAACAAACCCAAGATCAAATCAAACCGAAAAATTAATTTTAATTGCTTCTACGACTCGCAGTAACTTGAAGTAAATACATAAAGTACATTCACCTGTTGAAGCTACGAGATACATAAATTCCATGTGTTAATACCACACCAGAAGCCTTCGGAAAAATTTCCAGTATAGATTGTTTGAACTGGAAAACCTTTGTACCCCTTTTTACGAAAATTACGCGGACGGAGGAGTATTATAAATTTCCCACGCTGATAGAGAATATAGAGAAGGAGTCCAGAATGCTAATAATAATTTATTTATTTTAATTATTCATTAAAAATACATTGAATCAATAAAAATAAAAACATTACACACACTACCATATATTTGACACACACACACATAGGTATATTATACCTACTCTTTGTTTTTTTTTTCTTACCTAAGCTGATAGCCTGGAGAGGCTATTTCAGCGTAACCTTATCTAGTAGATGAGCTCACGGGGCTCAAACCGGAGTGCTGCTAACACTGGCCTGAATCTACCACCGGATAAGAAACACGACCCACTGAGTATAAAATAGTCTTTGACAATATAACTATAATAATGTTCAAATTTATAATTTCAATTAATTATAGTCGAATTTCGACTACCGCCGGACCACTAGTAAAGATAAAAACAGCAAAAATTGTATAATAATACGCGTAAATACTGAATCATTGAGACGTACTTCTCAAGCCTTAAAGTGGGTAATTTACGATTTGTTCTCTATGGGATACGGTAACCTCTTAACATTGAATAGGTCGTGATCATTGATAGACCTGTTCACTTGTCAACACAAAACAAAAAACACAATAAAAACAAAATCCTATAAAGAAAATAGTCTTTATTTGTGATTTAATAGTTGTGTATTTTTTTTTTCAAACCTTAGTTTAGCAGTCATGCCTTAATACCTTTTATATTGTACACTTTTCCCCTCTTATACATCGTATTTCTCTCTGCTAATGGTTTGCTGGAAGAAAACTCATTTTTTTTTAAAAAAAAATTATTGCTCTTGTAGGCAGACGAGCATACGGCCCACCTGATGGTGAGTGGTTACCGTCGCTCATGGACTTCAGCAATGCCAGGGGCAGAGCCAAGCCGCTGCCTACCGCAAATGACTCATGAATGAGTTAAGCTCGCCTTTGTACATAGTATTTAGACATTCTTTTAAATCTGTTTGTATTGTATTTTCTTTTTTGTGTACAATAAGTATAAATAAAAAGTGCCGACCCCACCTAGTGGGATAAGGTGGAGAAAAAGAAGAAGAAGTATAAATAAAAAATGTATAAATAAAGAATAAAAAACTTCAGAGGTGTCAAGGGACATCCGGATGGAACGAAGTTCCTTTCGATTAATTAGTGAAGGAATTGTTATTTTTTTTTTAAGTTATAATAATAAATTACGGCATTATTAAGAAGAAAAAAACAATACTATGAACTAAATTACTATTGTTGGAACGCTATCTCGAGAAACTGTACTCATTACGCGGACCAATCGGATACGAGCAATGTCACGCAATAAGCGCCTACACGTTGATTGGTCAGAATGACGGATCTAAAAAGTGTCGTGACAACTTTTCGTAAGATTTTTTTCCGTCTAGCCCCCTTTCACAACGCGCGATAAGGAACTTCGTTCCAATAATCAGCCTGCAGTTCTTACTAAAAACGACTAAGTTAACAACCACGTAGAGAGATCGAAAGTCGAAGTGGAAATCTCAGTTGTAATGTTTCTGACCCTTCAAACCCGTACGCATCATTGCTTGACGCTAGATATATGTATAAAGATCTTTAAGTAGACAGGACTGTGGTTCGTGTCCGTGAAGGCTCTTAAACACACTGAGTCTCACGCCGGATCTTCTCACAGGATTCCGATCCGATGGTAGATTCAGAGAAGCACTTTTTACTAAGACCTCTTGTGAGTCCGCACAAGTACCTGGATACCACCGCCCTGCCTACTTCTGCCGTGAATAATGCGTTTCGGTTTGAAGGGTGGCGCATTTACGTCGTAGATGCCTATGGGTTCCAGTAACTACTTAACACCAGATGGGCTGTGAGCTCGTCCATCCGTCTAAGCAATAAAAAATAATAATAAAAAGCATCCTTCCACGTGGTCTGGTGCCTTCTATTTTCTATTTTATTTTTCATTTTTTTTTTATTATCATTAGATTATTAACAATGCTTCGAATATTGTACAGTTTTCGTGGTCACGGTCAACTAAAGTATTATATTTAAGGTAAAAGTTTTTTTTTTTTTATGATGCGACAATAAATAGTATTATGATGAATAATAGTGTGTGTTCTCAAGCTGTATTCCAAGCTTCTCTACTCTTAGCAGGTATTTTTGGGGTCGACCAGAATTGATACCATCCTCTAACCATGAAGCAATGACACAGTCCAATCTGAAGATTAATATAACTACTATTACGATCAATTTGTGAGATCGTAAACTTTTTTTACACGACTCATCTCCCATAGAAATGAATAAAGTCCATAGAAGCCACTGCCACCACCTAAGTAGGAAGACTTCTACCACTTCTACGAGTATAGTACAATTACTGGCGGTAGGACCTCTTATGAGTCTGCACTGGTAGGTACCACCACCCTGCCTATATCTGTCGTGAAGCAGTAATGCGTTTCGGTTTGAAAGGCGGGGCAGCCGTTGTAACTATACTCAGACCTTAGAACTTATATCTCAAGGTGGGTGACACATTTACGTTGTAGATGTCTATGGGCTCCAGTAATCACTTAGCACCAGATGGGCTGTGAGCTCGTCCATCCATCTAACCAATAAAATAAATAAAAAATAAATGACGTGGTGGTACCTATCCATCTACTCAATCTAAAGTCAATAATGAGGATTCAATTAATGTGACTTTCAGAAATGGAGCGCGACATCTGCTCTGGCAGACACGAAGAAAATGGATGATTCAGGACAGATCCTCAGACACATCACGACTTCAACTCTGACAGCCTGTCAATCATATTGACGCTGTCAATAGAAACACGGCAGTCCACGGACAAGTTCAAACATCCTTTAACACTATTCAAAAACGCAATTAATTAAGTCCACTAACACGCATCCCTTTGGCTCCGAGAAGAAATCGAATCGAAAAAAAATAAAATAATACAGTTTTATTGGGCAATAAAAGCTCGGGCCGGCTCCCCTTTGCTAAAACCAGAGCTTCCTAGAAAGCTTAATAAGATATGTTTTACAATTTATTTATTTTACTTAGAATTCGTCGGATTTTATTTTTATTGTTTTATTAAAATTAATTGTTTGTTTGAAAATGTTCTGGGCTATATATATCAAGTTCGGCGTCGTAAAGATTGATAGGGCCTCTTATAATGGCTGAGACCGTAATGCAATCGTCAGTTTCAATTGAATTCAATTATGAAATCTAAATTTATTGTTTTATTTTCCATAAGAGGTCGGATACCCCACCACTCCCCCCACTCTTTAATCCGGAAAATGTCACGGATTCCTGACAGGTACAGACAAGGGTGGTGGCACCTACTCTTGCATTACGTCTAACCACAATAACACCTTTTGACTGATGGTACGTCTCTGGAAAGGTACCACAATCCTGCTTAGTTCTGGCGCCAAGTTTTTTTTTTTTTTTTTATTGCTTAGATGAGTGGACGAGCTCACAGCCCACCTGGTGTTAAGTAGTTACTGGAGCCCATAGACATCTACAACGTAAATGCGCCACCCACCTTGAGATATAAGTTCTAAGGTCTCAATTATAGTTACAACGGCTGCCCCACCCTTCAAACCGAAACGCATTACTGCTTCACGGCAGAAATAGGCGGGGTGGTGGTTCCTACCCGTGCGGACTCACAAGAGGTCCTACCACCAGTAAAAAATAAAAAAACAGACAGGGCAGCCGTTGTACTTATTACTCACCTCTCAAGGTGGGTGACGATATTTACGTTGTTGATGTCCCCGGGCCCCGATATTACCTTAATAGATGGGCCGTGAGCTTATTCAGATGTCTAAACAATAAAAGAAAACCGCAAAATTTTATAGCCCTAATGATGATATACCCGGGACGAGATTGTATCCAAAGCAGGAAAAGACTGACCACTGTTAAAGATAAGAAAAAATGGTATTCTTTGGAGGAGACTTTTGCCGTGAGGAGGTCCACATTAGAAGAAGATTGCACGAGTAGTAGGTTTATTATGGTTACTTAGGAATATAATTATTAAATACTAAATTGATTAAGCTCTATTTGATTTTTTGTGGAATCAATTAAAGCTATTTTATTATTTACTAGCGTACCGCTCCGGCTCCGCTCGGGTCTTTATCAAAAATTTCAACGATATTTGACCTTGTTTAATTTTTTAAAATAAAAGAACACTTATTGCGACATAACTATAACAGTTACAAATATAACTATAACAGTTACAACATTATGATTTACAAAAAGGCGACCCTTTTTGTAAATCATAATGTGTTCTACAAAGTGGTAATACATTATTCTATCATCAATAGTTTTCGCAGGGCACGCGATGTAAAGAATATTTTAGGTAATTTTTTTACACCTTAGGTTACATTATTGGACTTTAAGTAAGGATCCATAATTTTTTTCAAAAAAGATTATAGCTATTCTACTCGGGAATAGTGTAGCTTCCAAGCAACGAAAGAATTTTTCAAATCGGTTCAGTAGTTTCGCAGCCTATTCAATACAAACAAACAAACAAATCTTTCCTCTTTATAATACCAGTATAGAAGTATAGATTAAATACTAAATTAATTAAGCTCTATCTGATTTTTTGTGGAATCAAATAAAGCTATTTTATTATTTATTATTATTACTAGCTTTTATCCGCGACTCCGTCCGCGTGGAATAGTTACTTTGGCATAACGCCATATTTTACCCGCAACTTCATTTACGTAGAAAGTGAAAATATTTTTGAATTATACAATGTTAAGGAGCTATTTAAGCCCATATTTTGAATATATAGGCTATAGCCTTCCTCAATAAATGGGTTATCTAACACTGAAAGAACTTTTCAAATCGAACCAGTAGTTCCTGAGATTAGCGCGTTCAAACAAACAAACTCTTTAGCTTTATAATATTAGTATAGATCAATGCTGATATGGGAGATGCTCAATACAGAATACAGTAATGGCTGGTGTAAGTGTGCTCTAAGCGCCGTGCGCCAACGAATACTCACGAAGACAGCCGAAAGCCCCCGACCCTACATCGGGCCAGAACCGCGGCGCTTTCATCCCTCTATTTAGCATTGTTAATCATTTTTTACTGCCAAAATTGACAGTTGGCATGAGTCGGGCCTTTTGCAGTTTTTTTTTTTTTCAATAATGGCAACCCATTGTGCCATTGTTACGGGGAGGTCTAATAGGGGTTTGCGAATATTTTTTTCCGCTCTCCCGAAATCGCAACACAGGTGAATTTGTAAAAGGGGTTCTTGTTGTTCTATATTTTTGGTTTGGACTGCTAGTGAAGTTTTTTTCTACCTATGCTGATAGCGTTCAGAGGCTATTTCAGGTTTACCCTAGCGTGTAGGTGAGTTCTTGGGGCTCAAACCGGAGTGTTGCTAACACTGGCCCTAGCAAGAACAGGTAAACACGTCATTACTGATCTTCCCAATCCATTAACGGTGCTTTTAAGTACCTCAAGCACCGGTCACCATCCTCGCCGAACCCGTCGCTTGCGACGAAGGTCTCGACAAGCAAATTAGCCCATAGACACAGCCCGCTCTCGCCGGATCTTCTCAGTGGGTCGTGTTTCCGATCCGGTTGTAAATTTTGTGAAGCGCTGCTCTTACTAGGGCTAGTGTTAGCAACACTCCCGGCTTGAGCCCAGGAGGTCACCTTCTCGTCAAGGAGAAGCTGAAATAGCCTCTCAAGGCTATCAGTATAGGTAGGAAAAAAAGCAAGAGCAGTGCTTCGCAGAGTCTACCACCGGATCGGAAATGCGACCCACTGAGAAGATCCGGCCAGAAACTCAGTGGGCTAGTTTACTCTCCGAACTCTTCGTCGCAAGCGACGGGTTCGACGAGAACGGTGATCGATGCTTGAGGTACCTAAAAGCACCGTTAATCGATCCAGAGGATCCGTAATGACGTGAGCTAGTGTGCAGTGTTCGTTCAACACACGTAATTGTACTCAAATAAAGAGCAAACAAACCTGTTCATCACACGTATGTTTGCCTCAAGTAGGACTAGAACCCACGACCCAGGGCACAGGATCGCACTACTAGGTACACCACCCAGTCAGTCAATACATGACAATATCAACAATCATGTACAAATTACCCTTCATTGTACTACAAAAAAAACACACACACACATTATTATTGACATTTCTGTTATTTCTCCCACAATTCAAATGAGATGCGTGCACATAAATTACTGAACGATTTGCTAAACAAATTGTTTAACAATCAGAAGCAATTGTTAAATGGCCTTCGATAGCAAGGTTGGACAGGCAAAGTCGGGTAGCAAACGGAACTATGGCGATTGATAGATGAACTGGTGGTTTTACTGGTGATAGGACCTCTTGTGAGTCAGCACGGGTAGGTACCACCACCTCGCTTATTTCTGCCGTGAAGAAATAATGCGCTTCGGTTTAAAGGGTGGGGCAGCCGTTGTAGCTATACTGAGACCTTAGAGCTTATATCTCAAGGTGGATGACGCATTTACGTTGTAGATGTCTATGGGTTCCAGTAACCATTTAACACCAGGTGAGGTGTGAGCTCGTCTACCCATCTAAGAAATAAAAAAAATGACTCTAAATTTAACAGAACTTAACTTAATTTGCAAGGTATACTTGATGACTTTTTCTTTTCAATAGGGAGAATGAACTGACCTAGTGTAAGGTTAATTGATGTATATAGATTACAAGTACACAACATGAATGCCATCGCCAACAATAATGGAAGGGTGAGAGAGGGGGCTTAGTTAGTACTTTAAGGTATACGCTTGATTTAAAAGAGATGGAAAGAGTACGTTTGTCCTTTTCTAGATTAAAGGATACTGTTTAATTTTATAAACTGTTAGAATACATGTTTATAAGTAGTTTGAAGTATAAAACAAGTATTCTTAACAAATTTAACTAAGCCACATCAATTAAAAAGGTATGGTATATTCTAAGGATACATTAGATTCGGACCTCATAAACCATAGTGACATTCGCGTTGTCTCATCTAGGAATTCGGATAAATTACCACTCACCGTTCTCGTCGAACCCGTCGCTTGCGACGAAGGGCTCGACGAGCGAATTAAATCATAGACACAGCCCACTGAGTTTCTCGCCGGATCTTCTCAGTGGGTCGCGTTTCCGATCCGGTGGTAGATTCTGCGAAGCACTGCTCTTGCTAGGGCTTGTGTTAGCATCACTCCGGTTTGAGCCCCGTGAGCTCACCTACTAGTTAAGGTTACGCTGAAATAACCTCTCAAGGCAATCAGGATAGGTAGAAAAAAAAAAGTTTAAATTCTTAACCACTTTTCGGCACTCAAAAACAGTACTACCACTACTGTCAGATTTCACACAAAAATAAACCAAAATAAGTCACAATTCGCTAAGCAGAAAGTGGCACAAAAAAAAAACGCCTTGTAAAAACGCGCGATCATTGTACACTAATGCATTTTGGAAGAAGACATCACCACGGATTCTGTAAAGTCATCGTCCTAATAAACGAACGGGAGCTCGCTGTGTCCGGGAAAACGTCAAAACATTAATATTTCGATGAGTAATTAATGTTCTGTGTATGGAGAGTAGAACTAAGCACCATCACGTATAGGGGTCAAGTTGAAAAAGTGTCCACCTGTAAATAGACTCACCGAAATAGCGCTAGTGTTGGAAGATTTTATTGCTTAGACGGTGGGACGATCTCACAGCCCACCTGGTGTTAGGTTACTGGAGCCCATAGACATCTACAACGTAAATACGCCATTCACCTTGAGATAAAAGTTCTAAGGTCTAAAGTATAGTTACAACGGCTGTTTCACTCTTCAAACCGAAACGCATTACTACTTCACGGCAGAAATAGGCGGGGCGGTGGTATCTACCCGCGCGGACTCACAAGAGGTCCTACCACCAGTGGATTTTTTTGCTACCTAAGCTGGTAGCCTTTAGAAGCTATGCCAGCGTAACCGACCAAGTTGGCGAGCTCATCACTAACCTGATGACGTTGCTAACACTAGCCCTAGCAAGAGCAGTCCTTCGCAGAAGCTACCATCGCAGAGAAACTCAGTGGGCTGTCTCTGTGGATCAATTTACTCACCAAGCCCTTCATCGCAAGCGACGGGTTCGACGAGAACGGTGACCGGTGCTTGAGGTACATAAAGCCACCGATAGTGGATCAAGAGGATCCGTAATGACGTGTGTAGTTTGGTACTTTATTATCTATATTGTATGAAGGATATGCTGTAGTCCGT